GAGGGAAGGTGGGTGAACCAGGCTATGGGGTCACCGGGGCAAGAGCCCCGTCCCCTCCATGCTCACCTTTGCATGCTCCCTGTGCATCCCGCCTGATGCACTTGTCCATGGCAGAGAATGCAAAGCGCCGGGCTGACATGTCCTCATCTGTGCCATAGAGGTGCAGGATGACGCTGGTCAGCAGACCTGCGGGCAGGAGGGAGGGAAGGTGGGTGAACCAGGCTATGGGGTCACCGGGGCAAGAGCCCCGTCCCCTCCATGCTCACCTTTGCATGCTCCCTGTGCATCCCGCCTGATGCACTTGTCCATGGCAGAGAATGCAAAGCGCCGGGCTGACATGTCCTCATCTGTGCCATAGAGGTGCAGGATGACGCTGGTCAGCAGACCTGCGGGCAGGAGGGACAGCACTCTGTGCTGGTGGCAGCTTGTTCCCACTCTCTAGCCTTTGGGATCTGCAAGGTGGTGGATGTGGGGCTGGAAGCTTTGGAGCTAGGTTGGGGAGAGCAAGTTATGCTCCCTTCCTGGCTGAGTGGTGGCCAGAGACTCTCAAAACAAACACGGCCCTGCAGAAAAAGAGGGCTCACGTGCCCAGGAGGAGGAGGAAAACGACGAGTCAACAAGTTGCTAAAGAGGAAGAAAGAAGAAGAAAGAATGACCAAGCACTGCAGACCCTGGAAAGTGGGGTTCTCACCCGCTGGGCACCCACCTGTGTTATAGGCATCGCCCTTGTTCTCTAGTTGAAGTGTCCAGGTCCCGTTTGGGTTCTCATCCCAGAAGTGTGTGGACATAAAGGTCCAGTCCTTGTAGCCCTGCTGGCTGGTGTCATACGGGCTGGAGGAGAGGAGACCAGGAGTGACAGCCCCGGGGGCTGGAGGGGAGGAAGGCAGCCCAAGGGAACCCTGCAGTCACCCTGTTCTTGGTATAAAGGGGCAATGCCAAGATGTCATGGGGACAACAGAAGAGTTTTGAGCATGGAGGCCTGCTCACTGTGGGGGCCAGGGGAGTGTCCTGGTCCCAGGAGAGGCTGTGGGAGGAGGAGCCCCCTCTGCCCCACAGCAGCTGGCAAGTCCTACTGCAGCGTGCTCTTACCGCACGGTCACCAGTGTGGACGTGGTCCCCATCGGGCTGGTCAGAGTGATCACCAGGTCCCCCCTGCGGCTGTAGCTCAGAGAGAGCTGGACCTGGACATGCTCCAGGGAGCGGATGCGCTTGGCTCTCCCGGAGCAGACAACATCTGTAGAGACAGTGAGCTTGGAGCCGATGTTCCTGTCAAGTACAAGATGGAGATAAGGGCATCTCTTCTGTCTCCATGAGCATCCTGCCCTCCAAGCACAGCCCTGTGGTTACAGTGGAAGCTTTGCTTTCTGGGAAGCAATGCCTGTTCCTGCAATGGGCATGACACGACTTTGCCACAGGAATGTCCTTGTATGAGTTTGTATGAGGCTGGACCCAGGGAATATCATCCCTTACCAGGGTGCGTGAGGAGCCTTGACCGAGCACCTCCGTTGAGGCCGAGCTCCTGTCCATGCCTTGGCCATCTCCACCAGCAGACCAGCATCCAGGAGCCCGTAACCATAGTGGTGGCTCACTGAAGAGCAGATGCCGCCCAAGAGAGGACATATGAGCCCCTCTGCACTGAGAGAGTGCTGGGGGCTCCTGCCCCAGGCCCACTGGTGGGGGTTTGAGGGCAGGGTGTCTCCCCACAGCCAGGCAAAGGAAGCAGGAGCAGGTAGACCAGCTGAGCCCTCAACTCACCCTTGCGTCCGGCCCCATTCATGGCCCAGTCTTCTGCCTGCAGGTGAGTGGAATTGGAGGTCCTGATGACAAGATGCTGCAGGTCACGCCAGGTCAGTGCTGGGCTGGAAGCAAGGAAGACTTGGGAACTGAAGGCTCTGCTTTGGGATAGCTTTTGAGGGTGAGATTTGGCTCTTCTGACATGGATAAGTTATTTGTCTGGGTCCAAGCTGGTCTTCCCTGCACAAAAATCCTTCACTGCCATAACGGGTGCAAGAGAGACCTCCAGAGGACACTTCTCCTCCTGCCTCTGCCTGCTCTCCAGCAGTGTCCCTCCATGGGAAGATGTCCCACCAGAGCCTGGGGAGACCTCAGCTCTGCACCCCAAACCTCCCCACTGGTGAAGTCCCCCTTCCTTGTCCCTGAAGGGTCCTGGTGAGGCACCAGGCTCTCCCTGGGAACTGTCCCACCTACTTGGCCTCCAGCGCAAGGGCAATGATTCCTGCAGCCAGTGGGGCTGAGGCAGAGGTGCCTGTGTGCTTGTCAGTGCAGCGGTGGTGCAGGTCGGTGGTCACCTGAGGGGAGAGAGGGGTCTCAGCACTGCTGCTGGAGCAGAGGACAGGACTGCATGGAGCTGATTAACTTCAGTAAATGCTCCCTCCGGGTCCCTTCATGGTTTTGGGGTCCAATGCAGACAGTCTAATAAAGCCCCCCACTCTCCTCCCCTGGGTAAAGAGGGCTCAGATGAGCCCTCTCTGTGTTGCGAACTGGTGTCTGGCCAAGGGTCACTGCTCTGTCACTCACAATCTGCACCTTGCTTGTGGTCCTACTGCTGTAGGTGGTGGTGAGGATGGCAGAACAACCCTCGCTGTACCAGGGCCTCCGGCCACCTGCCAGAACGCTGCCCACTGACAGGGTGTAGATGCTGTTGGTGTACCCATCGCAGTTGCAGTTGTCATAGTTGATCCCACCGTTGCCAGAGGCCCAAATGAAGATGGAGCCGAGACCACCCCGTCCCTGGCAGGGGGGAGACAGAGGAGGATCAGCAGGGAGTCCTCACACCGGTGAGGTTCCCAAGGCCAGCACCAAGCTTACTTTGTTGACCCCTCTGTGGAAGGCTGCTGCAGCCAGCACGCCTGGTCCATCCACGGTCTTCCCGTCATCCCTGGGGCCCCAGCTAGCGCTGTAGATGTGGATGTGCTGGGGATGCAGGCTGAGGGACTGAGCCTCCACCACGTCTGTGATGGGACCATCCAACATCCGCACGCCTGCAGGGCCAGGGTGGGGGGCAGCAGTGTCAAAGAGGCAGCAGCAATTGGGAGCCGGGTGGACAGAAGCCTTGCACATGCCACACCAATGTAAGGGTTGAGGGGCATCCCACCAACCCCACTTCATCCCCCACCTTCCTGTTGTCTTGAACGCCTTTATTGTGATGCTGCCCTAAGGAGATCAGGTTCCTACAGGCTGGAAGCTGTTTCCCAAAGCTCCTTGTTAAGCCCTTTGCAATTAAGCCCTGTGAGTTCTCCCAGCTTATAACCCCATTTGCCTCACTCGCTTCCACAGGGGAGCCTGTGGTGGGTGTTAAACCCCCTGGGAGCTGCCTGGGGCCATGTGTCCATTCCCCGAGTGCCAGAGCAACCTTTGTCCCTGCAGCATGCTGGAGCAGCGGTTCACCTCCAACGTTGGCGTTGTACGCAACGCCTGCTCCACAGATCTGGTTGTTGGCTGCAGCTGCCACTTCTCCTGCACAGCGTGTTCCATGCCTGAGGGGCAGAGTCAGCCTGTGAACCCTCCTCGGTGAGGGGCAAAGGGGCCTGGGGCAGCCTTGGCGGTGGAGGGATGAAACACCCAGCACAAAGTGCTGGGCAGGACTCACCAGTTCTCTTCCCCAGTGGTGTACCTGGGCTGGGGATCAGGGTCATTGCTGTTGAAGTCATAACTTGCCAGGGGGTCCTGTTGCAAAAAGAGGGACTGGCATGAGCAAACTGCCCTTCTGTATGGGCTGTGACAACGTGACACAGCTGCCTGGTGCTGTGCCCAGTGTCTGGCAGCGTGGATCACGCTGCCTGGCCTGGAGAGGGAAGGGGTTGCCCTTCGCACCCAGCAACTGCACTGGGTTAACCTGGAGATGTTGGAAACGGGGTTTTGTTAAAGGAACATGACTTTGCACATTGCTGTACTGCTTCATCATGCCCAAGCTCACCTTCGGTGAGGAAGCCTGGCATGGCAAGTCACCTGAGGGTGAGTCTTACTGCCCATGCAGTTAGGAGCTACAAGCCACTGATATGATGTCATTATAAATGACAGATAAGATTTACCTGTCCTCTCCTGAGCATGCGAAGGTTTACCAGCTTTACTGGCTTTGCACTGGGGGCAATGTGTACAAGTTCTAGCATTTCCCTGACGTGCAAATTCACTGCGGGAGAGGCCAAACCTTTTGATCCAGCTACGGAGAGGCTGAGTTCCCGCTGCAAAGTCCCACGGGAGGGATGAAGACACCAGCTCCCACCCTCCCCTGGAGACAACATGCCCTGAAGGAGCCAGTTCCTGCAGCCTGCGCTGCTCAGCCCCACATAGTTACATAGTTGGCAGACAGGTCTGGATGATCCTTCTCGATCCCATCGTCCAGGATGGTCAGCACGACCCCCAGCCCGGTGTACCCTTTGCTCCAAGCAGTGAGGATGTTTAGGTCAGGATTAATGTCATTATTCTAGAAGACAGATTAAATTTGATCAGCCCCTGGGCTGCGGGTGACCTTCAAGGACTCTTCTGCTGTCTCATCACTGTCAGCATTAGTCCTGCTTATGTGACAGAGAGGTGATTTGCTTGAGGATTAGAAAGCAGCAAAATCGCACCATGTACCACTGTTTATGGAACCAGGGATCTGTTGGCACCACACTGATGCTTCTCTTTGCACGCCTCTTTACAGTTTGCTGCTCAAACCAGAGGACCTGGGCAGGAAGCAGCAGTGGTGTCAGGCAGAGCCTGCCCAGCACCAGAGCCTGGGTTCCTGCAGCTGCCTCCTCCCTACCTTTGGCTCTTTTGCCAGGCGCATGTTCCAGCCCCAGTGTCTGCTTAAGGCTTTCTGCCTTGTGCCTCGGTGTTTGAAATGATAATAAGGCTCTCCCTCCATCACCTGCAGGCAAAAACAGCTGTGTAAGAGATCATGACATCGTTTGGACCTGAGCGCTAGCTCTACATGGGCGGTAGGGACCATGAAGAGACGTCTAGTGAGTTGTATGTGGCAGGACAAGCAGAGGGCATCGCTTGGAACCAGGGCAGGTTTGTGGGTGCCCTTTGGGTTTCCTCGCTCACCCGTGCGCACACACAGAGGCCGTTAGCGATGTCCACCCCTCCTGCACTCATCCTTTAATCTGCACCCAGTGGCTTAAAACCACCTGAGGGAATAATCAAATGCCCTATTCTAAAACCAAATCAGCGTCCCGCTCTGGGGCACACGGTGGGGATGAGCCGAGGGGACCAGCAGAAGAGGACGAGCG